CATAAAATAATACATTTATATGTTATTAAGTAGCTTTTATGATACAAAGAATGATTACATAAACTTATAATAAGCTTCTATGATACCACAACAGTCACATAGATATGTAGGTTCTACAAACATGCATTCTAATGTTGAGGAATTCTTGGTAATTCCATATAAACAACAACAATCAGATCAATCTTGAAGCTGCTTTTCTTCAAATAAAGAAGATTGGTTCATAAATTTCTTGGGGGAATTTTTGATGGCTTGTTGTTGGCTTTAGAACAACTGCACAGGGATCCGATCGAATATAATAACGAGGTTTGTATATTATTTTAGCCCCTTTGCTCCATTTTGCAGAAATTACTGCACCAAGTTCTCCTCTATTAATATATTTTATTTCGATGAAAGAATCATATGGAATCCATTCAGGATACTGGTCATAAGGTAGCGACTGCTGTGCTTTTCTAATAAATTTATCAATTGGTGAATTTCCATTTGACCAGTTAGAAAATTCACTTTTTAACGTTTCATGGAGACAATCATCGCATAGAGATGAGGGTTCAACAAGCATATATTCTGATGTTGAAGAATCTTGGGTAATTCCATATAAGCTACAACAATAAAATGAATTTTGATATCGTGTTTCTATCATTGAAAGCTGATTCATATCTTTTAATTTCTTCAGAACAACCGCACAGGGATCTGATCGGATGTAATAGCACTCATTGCTAAATATTTTTTGGTTCTTTGCTCCACTCTGCAGAAATTAATGCACAAAATTTGCCTCTAATATGTTTTATTTCGGTGAAAGAATCATATGGAATCCATTCAGGATATCGATTATAAGGTATTGTCAGCTGTGCTTTTCTAATAAATTCATCAATAAATAAACATCCACTTGACCAGTTAGAGCATTTACCTATTAACACTTTACGCTGACAATTGCTGCATAGAGATGAGGGTTCCACAAGCATATATTCGGATGTTGAGGAATTCCATATAAGACACAACAATAAAACAAATCTTGGTAGTGCACTTCTATAATTGAAAGTTGATTCATATTCTAATTTCTTTAAAACAACTGCACAGGGATGTAATAGTGCTTATTATTAGATTTTTGCATTTTTTGCTTCTTGTCTCCATTTTGCAGAAAATACTGCTTCAAATTCGCTTCTACCAATGTGTTTTATTTTGGTTAAACAATTATATGAAATCCATTCAGGGTATCGAATATAAAAATTATATGGAATCCGTTCATGGTATCGAGTATAATATAATGACTGTTGTGCTTTTCTAATAAATTCATCAATTTGTAAATTTCCACTTGACCAGTTAGCAGATTCTCTCTCTAATACTTCATGAGACAATCATTACATATTATCAGGTATTCTGCCTCGCACTTCATATTATTTTTGCATTTTTCACAATTTCGATTATTTTTGATTTTTTTTTCACATCGACATACTAAGTTGGGGCATATATTAGTTTTTTTTTTCTAAAAGATTAAAATGTGCTTTATTTTCAACCACATTTCGGTTTCTCTAAGTCTTTTGTAGGTTCAATTCCATTTCGATAGCATTCAAGATTACATATTCCACTAGAATTACTCATATTAGTAGATTTTTTATAATAAATAAATGCCTTAAGTTCATCCTTTTCAACACTAATTCTTTTTTCGTAACAAAATACTAGATTGCTCATTCCACTAGAATTACTCATATCAGCAGATTTTTTATAATGAATGAATGCCTTAAATTCATTCTTTTCAATTCCGATTCCATATTGATAACAACCACCAAGAGAATTATTTCCATAAGAATCTTCCATATCTGCTGATTTTTTATAGTATATAAATGCTTTATGATAGTCTTTTTCAATCCCGATTCCATGTTTGTAACAAAATCCAAGATTATTTATTCCAAGAAAATTCCCCATCTTTGCTGATTTTTGATAATGAATAAATGCTTTGTGATTATCCATTTTCCATATTGATAGCAATATGCCAGAATATTTTGAATTATAGGATTGATTTGAACAATTGTTTGATTATTTAATTATTTCTTCGGGGTTTTCTGCTTGCTTTTAAAATTCTGATTTATGGAGTAAAGGACTGTGCTTATTGGATTTCCGTTTGTAATTTCTTTATTATACAGATCATATAATTTAGTGATCCAAATCAGACCAAAAAATGCAATCGATTAATCGACCAAAATTTTTTTTAAAAATCGATTAAAAATCGATTATAGTCAACTATCAATTAATCGATTAATTGATTAGTCAACTAATCGATTAATCGATTAATCGATTAGTCTACTAATCAATTAAATTGACTAATTAATTGGATATAATTGTGTAGCTACTAATTACAAGATCGAAGCCGTATAAAAACAACTAGTCGATTAGTCAACTAATCGACTAACTAACCAATCGATTAATCAGTTAATCGATTAATCGTTGACAATCGACAATAAAATTATCAATCGATTAATCGATTAATCGATTAATCGATCAACTAATCGATTAATCGATTTTCGATTTGGAACACTAATATAATTCTTTGATAGTGCTATTTAGAAAATCCTGCGAATTATGCAACGATAAATCTTCCTGTTTTAAGGCACGAAAATCATGATCTGCAAATGAATTATTACAACTGCTTTTTTCATTTGACATTGTATATGATTAAAATCGTATATTATATTGTGTTCTGGTAGAGAATACGATATACTGATATGTATGGTTGGCGATGAATTAAAACCGTATTTTGGTCTTATTGTAGTGGTCGGCTAAAGCGGAGTTAAGGTCACTCTTTTATGCGGATAGTTATTATTATATATGGATATCATGAATTGTAACCCTTTATAAGTGCACGCTCTTGAGACCAAACTTTAAAAACAAGCACTTAGAGGATTTATGGAAGTTATACACGTATTTGGGCTGAATATTTACTGTACAACTTATGCAGCAGCACTCGCTAACCGAATCAGGATAATCACAAGTAGGATTGTTAAAACTTACCTGACATCTTACTTTACATGGTAAGTTATGGTAAATTACATGTAACTTACATGGCCCAAATGTAAGTTACCAAAGCTGGCCAAATAATATGACAATTTCTATCAGCATTTGCATCAACTTGACCCAGCCTTTATGATTAAAGAAATTATCAATTAAAACCGCCTAACATAATTAACCCACATTGCAATTACCCGTGGTGTTATTTCTTTAATAATATTTATAATTGCTATCATTTTTACAAAAATTTTGAATATATAATTCTTCACATTTAACTTTCTTGTTGTATTTAAAACACCCATAACAGTAATAGTACATTTTAAATTCAGCGTTTATTGAATAATTATTGTTATATCTAACTAAATAGTTAACATTAAATGATATATTCATCAACATATAAAAATATAAGCATAGATGGTTTTTTGAATTACATTCTTTTAGCATTATCGCACAACTTTTAATAGTATTCACATATTTTGTTTTCATAGTGTTTTTGTTTATAACAAAACCCAACTTTATATATTCCTTCAGTATTACCCACCTTTGCAGTTATCCAATAGTATTTGAATGCCTTGTTTCCATTTATTTTTTTGCAATATTTAATGTTTAATATTTGCGGCATTAAGAATAGCATATATTAATGCATTATGCTTAGTTAATTATTATAGTTTTTGATCCGATTATATTCTATTCATTTATATCATATTCAAATAAAAAAGAATCCAAGTTCGAATTATTTCTTACTAATAATTTCAATTACTTTCGATCAAATAACCTTTTTGTTTCAGTTCATTTATTGTAAGTGGCTATTGTATTGAACGTAAAGCCCAAAGATTCCAGTATATATATACGACTTTTTTCACATGTGGATTAAACAATTACGTAATTTAGTGTGAATAAAACTAAATGCTGACCAGTTTCGTTCACTTGCAGCAGATGTTGCAGGTATTGAAAGTAACTTTAATGCTATATCACTTAATACCAGATATCGTGCTTTAGTTAAATTCTACCAATTGCATGGTTTTTCTTTAATAGGATCCACAATTAACTGGCTGAAAATCCATTAATTTTTCTTACATATTCGGCAAACTCTTCTAAAACTTGATTTTCATTTTCTGGTCTAGCAAGTCATATTAATTCTCTTTCAATTGGTAAATCCCATTTTTTTGGGTCTAAAATCTCACCACAATATCGAGGATCCAGTTTATATATTACTATAATTGCTGAATTGTACAAAAAATCATTCCAACGATGTTCTACAAGCTATATATTTTCTACAACAATTATATTTAGAACACAAGTATTATTACGTACAAATGTTTCTAATTGTCTTAATTTTAAAAATGCAACTAATAAATTGGAATATTCCTTCAAGCTTATTAATAATATTAATAAAATTTTCTAAAAAATCATGAAGATTTTTAAGATTTTGTCAAAATTGATCATCCATAATTAGAAGTTTAATATTGTAATCAATTTTGATACTATCTTCAACTATTATAGAACAAATTACATTTTTGGTTTGTAATAAATGATCTATACAATAAAATGCTAATCCTTATCATGTGTCTACTGTTGATACTAATAAATAAGATGTCTATATTTTTCAACTTGAAACCAACAGAGTATTGCTAATAGTATTAAATGTGATTGAAAATAATTAACAATAATTTTAGAGTTATTCAAGATTTTTTTTACCCAGTCTAATTTTAAAATATCTTTTATCCAAAGATTAATTCTATGAGCCTAATATTCTAAGAATATTTTCATTAGATATTTATTTTTAAGTATATGCTAAGTAGCTTTTATATTTGGTGCATTATCTGTGATTACTGCAACAAAATTGTTAATATCAATTTCATGCATTATTGTTTCAATTTCTTCAGCAATATTTATTGCTGTATGTTGATTTTTTTTTGTATATACTGATTTATAAAAAAAAGTTTAGAAGTAACAGTTATGTAAATAATAATTGAATCTTTACAAATATTAGACCAACCATTTGTAATAAGACAGAAATATTGACCAATAACAACATTTATATCATTATATTCTTTAAAAAGATATATATTTGAAAGGGATTGTTGTGTAGATAATTTAAAAAATAAACATGCTTTTGTAAAAAAAGCTTTAATATCACAATTTTATAATATATTAAAAGCAACACCACTAGAATAAATTTCACGTGCTAATAAACTTTCTAACTCCTTTGTATTCTTTAGTAATATATAAAGAATTTATTAATTGATATGTAGATATTGGTAATTCTTTTAAAACACATTTTTTATAATGTTATTGTATTCATGATTCATTTTTAACTCAGAAATTATTACAGTTTTTACATTTTTATTTTTCTTTTTCATTTTCAACTACTTTTCAAATTCATCCCAAAAAGTTCCTTTTTGATGTGGCATATCAAATAAAAAATATTAAAACTAGATGCCAATTAAAATTATTTATTAGTCCTATTTATATATAAATATTAAGTATAAAATTTACTTTAGCAATAATAGCTTAATAAGTATTATGCAATTCTTTATTAAAAATAAAGTTATATAATAAGGGGGCTACCATTTTCACCATTATGAATTGCTATTTCCACCATGCTTATATAAAAATTACTATTTTTAGTTTTAATATAAAATATATAGAAATACAATATATAGTAAAGTAAAAA